GAGCCAGGTCCCAGCTGAGGGTTTATTGGCGTAAATGCAAGCATATAAAACATAAATTATGAAAAACAGTCACGATGTGCCCTCCCCACCCCCCAGCCCAGGCCCCTAAAACCCCCTTCTGTGGGAGGGAGGGAGGGAAGGGGGAGGAAGGGGGAGCCCCAAAACCGCCTAAGACCGCCACAGCCCCTGGGCCCATGCAGGGCCAGCCTGGCTGGGGCGGAGGAACCCAGGCGCTGCCTCAGCGCATCCGGTAGTCGGTGGAGCAGGACAGCTCGCACAGCTGGCCCTTGAAGTCCAGGTCGATGGTGAAGTCCAGGTCGCGCTGCGGGGAGAGGGCAGAGGTGAGGGTGGCCACAGAGCGGGAGACCCAGGAGGCGCAGAGGGAACAGGTGAGTGGATGTGACCCAGACTGCTGGGCCCAGCCAAGCCCTCTGTCCTGTACCGCGGCCCTGGGGCAGGGCTCAGCTGCTCTCAGACCAAGGGTCTGGCCTCCATCTGGCCATGCTGGGCCTCCTGCTGGCCTTACCCCAGACCACACCCCTGCTGGGTCAGAGCTCAGGGCAGCTCCATCCTGCCTGCCTGGTGCTTGAAGGACGAGAAGGAAACACAAGTGCCCTCGCTCTTCTCTGCCTCCAGAGCTGGGGGAGTGCTGCCAGCTCCACGCGGCCACCTCACCTGCCCCTCCTAGCTGACAGCTGGCCCCTGCAGCTGGGATCTGCCCCATCACTGTCCCCCTTGCCTGGAAGGGCGGTCTCAAAGGGCAGGGGCCCCGGTCCTCACATTGTTCTTGGCGTTGGGCCGCATGCCGATGGTGCCGAAGATCTCCTCGCCTGTCTTCACCGTCAGGTAGTCCTCCATGTAGAACACAGTCTGCTTCCAGTGCGTGTACGGGGACTCGGGGCCTGCGGAGGGCAGCTGGCCTCAGCCCCTGCGCCTGTGCCCTCCCTGCCCCAGGCCCACGCCCCGCCATTCTCGTCCTGGAAATCCAGCCTGGTGAGCTGCCTGAGCAGTGACCGGCCAGCCCATCCCTTCACCCGCAGCCGGCCTTGGAGATGGGCCGATGTCTACGCCTCTGGGTGAAGAAAGCCGCGGCTGTCCCGTGGCAGAGCTGGTGTCACCACCTGGGTGTCCCTGGGGTCCCCTCTCCTGTTCGCCGCCCTGCCCCCGCCCGCCTCACTGGTGGAGAAGCCAGTCCTCTTGTGGCAGCGGGTGAACTCGATGTTGAAGTAGGCCACCAGCGCGTGCACATAGTCATTCCGCTTCACTTGCAGGCAGAAGGGGGAGGTGAAGGTCAGGTCCTCCACCTTCACGGTGTAGATGTCCACCTCCTGCAGGACAGGCCTGTGAGTCCCGCTCTCCCCCAGGCCTGCAGATACCAGGTCACGGCCCCAGGGAGCTTGACCCTGCACTGGGCCTTCCCCACTGTCTTCCCGAGCTGGCTTCAGCCCGCTGCTCATCCCTTCCTCACTCCTCCTATCCCCGTTCCCCAACATCTAGCCCTGGGTCCCCTTCTTGCCCCATCCATAAGCAAAGCCAGGGTCTGTACCCCCTCACAGTCCCGCCCCCGGCTGCCTAGCCAGCCAGCCACACCTCTCTGCAGGACTCCACTCCTGGCCTGTAAGACAGTTCCCCCCCCCAGGGCTCTTCTCTTCTGATCCTTTTTTTTTTTTTAAGAATTATTTTATTTAACTTTATTTATTATTATTATCATTATTATTTTCCAGTTTGATCAGAGAAAGACAGAGAGAGAGAAAGTGAGAAAGCAAGCCACCAGGTCCGAGACTTGAACCTTGGTTGGCCATGTGGGAGTCCAGTGCCTTTAACCACCACGCCACTTGCTGGCCCCATGATGCTCTTTCTTTTTTAAAACTTTTCTTCCCAAGTCTCAATGCCATGGGCCGCCACAGCCTGCCCCAGCCACCTGGACCACGGGCCTCCATGGCCGGCCTGGCTGCTCGGCCCAGGGCCCATGGCCCATGTAGGCAGGGGAGACTGACTGGAACTAGCCCCACCTGTGGGCTGGCCAGGCAGAGTGGTGCTGTCTGCAGCTGTGCCGTTGCGGGACCCCAGGGCAGCCTTTAACAGGGTCCTCTGCTCCAGTCCTGTCCCAACATGTTGGTCATTGTGACCCTTATAACAGGGATAATCACACACCATCAGATCCTGTCAAATCTGGAGGGCGCCCGTGCTCTTGGGGGTCCCAGCCCCCTTGTGATGAGCTGCCTCCTCCTCCACACCAGCCTGACTGCAGGGCTGCCCATCTCTGGCTCTCTCTGTTGTCCTCACCCAAATGCCGTCACTAAATCCACAGCCCGTGTGCAGGTGAACACGCTTCCCACCTGCCCCACCACACCCCATCTCAGCGGCGGGGGGCTGGTTGCAGCTTCACTCACGCTCTCCAGAGCATGACGAAGGCCTGCCCTGTGCCCCTGCCAGGTGGGGCCCACCTCGCAGATACCTTCCTGGACAGACAGGTTCTCTGGGCTTCGAGCACCCCCTCACCTTGATGAGGCAGGCGTTGGTGACCAGCTGCTTGGGGTCCACCACGTCTACAAGTGGCTCCTTGATGGCCACATCTTTGATACAGGACATGTCGAAGCCGTACACGTTCTCCCACCCTGCACAGGTGGAGGAGGTGAGCGCCAG